CAGTCCAGTCAGAGTCCAGTTGTGCCAACATAGTGTCTGCAGCCCCTTGCCAGGCAGAGCCCCAACAATATGAAGTACAGTTTGGACGGCTACGGAATTTCCTCACTGGTAAGTAAGTACTTGATGCTGGGAACCCTTGTTTATTAAGAAAGATTAATGCAAATATCACTTAGTACCTACAATGTGCTAAGCATGGTGTGTGTTCTAGGGACTCACAGGAAGTTTAGGCACAATCCTTGCATGAAGAACTTAACAGTCTGTTGAAACTCCTGAGAGTTAAATCATAGGGCCAAAATTGACAAGGGCAGTGGCTCTGGATTTCGTTCACTGTTTTATGCTTGGCCTTGAACACAGACACTGAGATTCTGGCATAGAGATGCTTAATGAGTGTGTACTGAATAAGGGATAGCTAAATTGGCCCGAAAAGGAAAATGTCCTTAAATGTAACACTTTAAAAATAATACACATTGATATCTCTACTAATAATATATATAGTAGTACATCTTAAAGAGTAGTCTTTGCTCTTTATTTTAAAAATGCTAGATAATAGTCCTTATGAATCAGATAAAACTTCTAAAATGAAAACATTTGAAATTGTGGTTTAGACCAATGTGTCAGAATTAAAATGATCACTAAACCACAAATGTGAGTTCTTCCAACTTTATTTATAACCTTTAAAATGAGTGACTGTGATTGGCTAAAAAAAAAAAAAAAAAGAAAGAGCCACTTACATGAGTCATTTCATCTGAAGTGCCAAAGGCTGGGGAAAGAGAGATAAAATAATTTCCTTCACATGTGAAATGAAGACCTGAAAAAAAAATTTAGCAAGATAAATAATCTCATCCAAGATGACTGATGATAATTTTGCTGTCGGAAAAATAAATGCACTAAGAGAATCTCGTGTTATTTTAGATTGGTAATGAAAAGTTTTTGTTGATGTGTTCAAAATACCTTAATGTAGAAAATACCTTTTTTTTCTGAATGTAGGCACTAAAACAACTTTCACTGCCTCAAAAAATTGAGGATAACTAGTATGAATTGAGCGATAAATTAGTGTTGAATTGTTAAAATTATTATTATTATTAAAAATTGTTTAAATTTTTCTTTCCTTGTTTGAATAATCCTTGCACTGATAATTTTCAATGGTAAAGATGCATATAAAATGATCACTATATAAGCTAAAATAATCTACTGAGCCTTAGTCACATACAATTAAAATTGTCCTTATGTACTTAAAATAACCCCCCTGTTGGTTATATATTAAAGGATAAAAAATTTGTTTTACTATACTCCAAGGTTGGAGCAAATGACAAAAATGTTATAGGAAATAGACATTACAAAACAAAATTCAAGAGGAGGTTATCAATTTCAGTTATTGAATTCTTAAGTAGAAAAGAGTATAAAAAGAAAAGTGAAAAATTATGAAGATTAAATATTTAGTCCAAAAAGTTTTATTGTGTTCAAACTAGGAAGTAACTCCATTAAGACTCTCATTATCATATGAATGTCAAGTATCCAAGACAGTGATCTGCTGCTTTCCATTTGCACTCTCAGAACATTCATTGTCTTTGAATTAGGACTTGCTTATAGCTGACCCGTTATTGGGTTTAAGGCTATAAATCACAAGATAAAAGATTGTCCATCTTCTATAGAGCTGCTGCAAAGGCTAGAGAAAGAAGACATAAATTTATAAAGTATCAAGAAATACTTCAGGGAGCTCTGGTGGTGTAATTTGTAGAGAATTGAAGTACTAACCCAAACACTCTTCACTGGATTAGATCCTCTAGCAGCTTCAAAAAAGAAAGATGGACAGTCTCCTTCTGCGCAGTTTTATAGTCTCTGAAAAGGTGGAGGCTCAGCTATGAGTCAGTACCAACTCTTTGGCAATGAGACTAGTGGAGTTAATAAGCAAGAATTTGGAGAGAAAGGGAGTATTTTTACTCTTTAGAACTGCCTTTACTTTTCTGAACATGATTTTCAATTAAAATGTGATTACATTTATCCTTCTAGAGTAGATTTATCTCACTATTTTGTCTGTGGGGAACCTCATTTAAAAATAAATGTGCAGTCATCTTCAGACTTTCTCTTTTCATTCATTTAACCTATGACTGTTAAGTTAGGACTTAAAGCCTTCCAAGCTCAGTATTACAATAGAAATGATAGGTTCTCTGCTTATCAGATCATACTGTCTGATAAAGGAACAGATGAAAAAGTTAGCCACCAGATATGTAATTATGATAACGATGGATTGCATGTCCTCACGCCAGTGCTTTTGTCATGAGCATGACTTGTTTCTTTTATGAACAATGCTATGATGACCCAGTGACATACAGATTTTAGTTTAGATATTTTTAATCACAGAGGCATAGCTATAATAAAGTAAAAAATTGGAACTGACTCATACTGACCCTCCATTGGGGGTTTTTTGGTAGGTTGTTTTTTTTTTTTAAATTCTGTTTTATTTTGTGTGCATGTACCATCAAATTGGATCTGACTCATACAGGAGGAGATTGTCCCTCATTTTCTAGCAGAGCATCTGGTGGATTTGAACTGCGTGCCTCTATGATTGCAATGCAGCTTCTTGCCACTAGGCCACCAGAGCTCCCTGCCAGCCATTAGGTTTTTAGAGACTGTAAATTGCTCCAGAAGAGGTTGCCCAGCTGGTGGATTTGAACTACCAGAGAGGATGCTACGTTAGGTTGGTAGCACAACTTCCTACAGACTATGCCCCCAGAGCTCCCTTATAGTAAAGTGGACTCACTGTTATTATCAAACTGCTATATATATTTTTTTGAAGTGCAGAATTAATAATATATTTCATTGGCCACTAATGTGATTATGTGATTAAGGCACAGATAGCTCAACTACTAAATAAAAGGTTAGTGGTTCAAACTCAACCATAGGCACTTGGAAGTAAGCCCTGGTGACTTGCTTCACTAGTGATCACAGCCTTGAACCCTGCAGACAGCAGTTCTTTTGTGTTGGCATGGATCAGAATCCACTCAGTAGCATCCAATAGCAGTGTGACTTAGATTTATCTTAGTGTAAATTTTTGTTTAAATCTCTTTCCCGTTTACCTGTTGGGACCCTAGATGATTTATTTTTTAAAGTTTTGACAAAACTGTTAAATCCTATGGCGTGCAGTTCTGTTCTGTACACATAGATTCACCATGTCAGTCAGCTCAGAATGTTAACTGACTGAATGCTGGTGTGTGAGGTGGTGTATTTAAATATAGGATAAATGTTAGCGTTGACTACTTTTATTTTTATTTATATTTATATTTACATTTACATTTATATATAAAATGTGTGTGTGGTAGTGGTGGTGGTGTTGTTAACACATTGCCACACACTTTTAAATTGACAACCTATGCTTAGAAACACATTTTTTTTCAATTGTTTATGACTGCCATATGAAATTGAACATACAAATGATGTTCCTTTTTTTTATTAATTAAAATGTGCAGGACTGCTATAGCCATCATTTGTGGCAACATGTTAAGCCATCAAGTCATAGATGACTCATAGTGACCCTATGAATGAAAGACCTGAGCACTGTTCATAGAGTCTCTGGAGGCAAGCCATTTCAGAAGTGGATGCCACTCCTGTTTCCAAGTTTGTTGTAATCAGGAAGCTCCACCAAACACTGTCTATCATGGGTAACCATTATCGCATTTAGCACATTGAACATTTAGCATCACAACAACCACGAGTTACCTCTGTACAGCAATGCACAGACCAGTGCTATACCACTTAGAAGAATGTTTGACCAAAAACCATTTAAACCATGCCTGAGGGCTGCAGATTAAAATCACCCACCTTGGGCTTGGTAGCATAACTTTCTGTCCACTAGGCCAACAGCTCTCTCTGTGTTGTATATATATATTTCTTTTTTCATGGTTTTTCTTTGCCCAGAAGTTTATATTTTCTTGTATAGTAATCTTATCAACATTTATCTTTGTGATTTCTTAGCTTTCTGAAAACTCACAAATTTGAATGTTATTTTGTACATAATTTGATTGTGTGCTCCGTTGACAAATGAATACCAATATAAAATATAATATACAGTCATGAATCTAATTTGGAAGCTAAGGTTAAAAGTAAAAGTTTTTCATTAAAATTTTAATATAGTTAGAAGTGTCTTCATAGAGCAGAATGAAATCAGTTGGAAAATTGTATATATATAATGAATTATATTTGAAACGAAAACTGAAATTGCATTTAAAATAAAGTGATAAAGACTTAAATAGAAGATTTTACTGTATTGGTAGTTGGTTTCAAATTAACACTTGAAGGAGGGGCTATATTTTAGCACACTGTAGGAAAGAGGAGTAGGAATATTCTTTGTGAGTGGAAAGACATGAGCAGAAGGACAGAGCTGGCAATTCTTCCTGCGAGATCAATGAGGGAACTAGTCCTGTTTACATGGTGCTTTCAAGTTGTAGGTTAAGACTAGACATAGCACCACACTGCCAGGCCTACATGTGTGAGCTGTATCTGTATAATGGGAGCAATCACCATTTTATAAAACAGTTCATAAGAGGGATGACTATGAAGCTGATCAGCTAAGAGTTTTTCACAGTGCTTGAAAAATATGCTGACGTGGGAGTGGAGAGCCAAGTTTTATAGTTATATTATCAAGTTAGATAACATAGTCCAGAGCTCAGGACTAGGAGAGAAATGGGAGATGACTCTGGTTTTGAGAGTAGGACCACTTAGGTATATTAAATAACATGATCAGGGTTTTATTCTTGAATGTATAATGATGACAGACTGTTGTATAGCTTGTAATAGCATATTTGGCATTTCATAAAAAGGTACAGAATTGTAATAACACGTTGTACATCTAAATAAAGTCTTGGGAAAATATAAATATCTCGAAGAGAATAAGATATGGTTCGAAGTATCTACAACCATGTATTCTGAATATATTTTTCCCCTAAGTTAAGCTATCTTTAGACAAAAGTTCCTGTAAGATTCTTTCCTGGGCCTGTCAGCCCTTTCTTTTGGAGGTCTGATTGGGAAGAACGTGGACTTTAGGAACAGACTTTCATTTGAACATTGGGCAAGCTGTGGCTCAGAAGGACAATTTCAAATATTGAGCATACAGGCAGTGTACACCTAGTGTTAGCTATTTTAATGAAATAAAGAGAGAAATCAAACAGGAATGTGAATGGTCAAGTCAGGTTTTGTTGTATTTCAAAAGAAAGGACAAGATGTAGTAGTCAGACAAGCATTACAGAAAGGTAAAGAAGAATGAAGACTGACAGGGTCACTTTTTGCTTAGTGTTCAGTTACTGAAGACACTGGTTTTTCACTTATTTCCTCTCAGTGGAAATAGAAAAATCAACAGAGATGGTACTCACCACATACTCAGTAGGTAGGTGAAGGATGAAAGGGGTAGTATGCTTTTCAAAGGATATGTTACTTTTCTAATTAGGAAAAAATACTTTCCAGTAAAAAGGATATATCATGATTACAAATGAAAAGGATAGTAAATTACAAGAGCAAAGACTTGTGAGTCTCACTTTCTCCTGCATGTAGAATATGTCCACCAAAATGATGTTGTATTTGTAGCACACTGTTCTTTCAGTCAAAAGAGAATAAATACAGTAATTCTGAAACAATAAGCAACACTGAATTCCCTTACTTTTAAAAACAGTGCTCATGTAGGCCTTGGTGGACAATATTTTAAGGAATTGAAAACAGTCTCTTGTCCAATGGTGTGTATTGGAAATCTAACAGATAAAGTTTATACCTTGTTGTTTACTATAATTGGCACATGTTGTTGTTGTGTATCATCGACTCGGAATCGACCCATATCTGACCCTTCTGCAGGTTTTCAGAGGCAGTTAATTGCACAGGAGGAAATTTTCCATCCTTCTCCCACAGAGTAGCTGGTGGCCTCAAACTGTGTACCTTTGGGATTGCAGCACAGCTTCTTGCCACATAGGAAAAGAAATTTTCCAGAAGTCTTCTAAAGCATTATGTTGTTGTCGTCGTCATTGATTGCTGTCGAATCGAGCACCACTCTTAGCAACCCTATGAACAAAAGGCCTGAAGCCTTTTTATAACTATCATCATTTATCAAAGTTCTTAGACGTTCCAGAGGCATGTTGTTTAAGAAGTGGAAGCCACTCTTTCCTAAGCATTATAGCTGCCTTACTTCTCTTTTAAAGATGAGAAAGGGTAACAAATGGGATGAATACTTGAGTCGGGACGTCTTTTTCTAAAATATAGTTATATGCATATTCATTTACTTGCAAATGAAATGGACTAGATTATAAACAGAGATAATATGTTAGCTTTGTTTATCATTAAATTAGAAAGGCAAGAGTTTATAATGTAATCTTGAATATTCTGTGTGGACTCCTTTAAAAAAATGCTAGCTGAATCTAAGAATTTTGTATTTGTTTTTATAAACTAAAACATTTTTTATTCTTCTTTATGAAACTTAAAATTGTTCACAAATAAAGAACAAACAAAACCATGATAGCAAAAAAATTCAAATTAACAGCACTTGAAAGTAAAGGTAGTATTGATGGTTGTAGTTACCTGTCGGGCTGCTAAACAAAAGGTTTTAATATGCCAGACATTCTAGGAAACAAAGATGAGTAGTCTTCTCATGTAAAGTTTTACGTCAGAAATCCAGTAGGGGGTCACTAATTAGTACAGTGACAGATGTGAAATACCCCAGCCTGGGTCGCCCCATTGACCCATTCCCACTGAGTTGATTCTGAAGAACTCTATGAGACAAAGTAGAAGTGTCCCATAGGGTTTGCAAGGCTACAGTCTTTCCAGAAGCCAACTGCCCACCTTTCTTTGTAAAGCAGCTGGTAGTTTAAACCTCCAGCCTTTGGGTAGCAGCCAGGCATCTAATCACTATGTACCAGGTCCCCTTTTAGGTAGCCAGACATGCTAATGAACCTTCTAAAATGAAGAACTTTGCTTGCTTTTTGGCTTATATAAAAAAATTATCACAAAACACGTTATACTGCTCAGATCACAAGTCGGTACTTAATTGCCAAATGATCATCCAGATAATTCTAGTTATACTTTTAATCAATGATTTTTATATTTTTATTGAGTTAAAATTTTATCCTGAAGGACTCCTAAACATCAGATGTTTGGAAGAAAATAATCAACCCTGAAACCTGGATATGAGTGGTCTGTAAATGTTCAGTGACATCCCACTGCTGAACAGTTGTAAGAACTTCAGTATGTTATCTGACCTCTCTGGACATCAAATACCGGACCTGTGGCAGAATTAAGCCCAGATTTGCTTAGCTTCAGAGTTCTTCTGCTCTTTTTACTACAGTGGAAAGGCTCAGGCCTTGATATTCTGAAAATCTACTTTAGACTCTTGTAAATTTTAATCATTCCTCTGGGGGAAAAACAACACCACCACACAATTCTGACAGAAACTTTTAATGTGATGGTGGATTCCCCATGAGGGAACACATTATTCTATGAGATCATACTAATTATAAAGCTGTTGGGGTGTTTTGTTTGTTTTGTTTTGTTTTCATTATAGATTCTGATTCCCAGCACAGCCACGAAGTGATGCCTCTCCTCTATCCTCTCTTTGTCTACCTCCATCTCAGTCTGGTCCAGAACAGTCCGAAGAGCACAGTGGAGAGTTTTTACAGTCGCTTCCATGGGATGTTCTTACAGAATGCGAGCCAGAAGGAGGTCATTGAACAGCTGCAGGGCACTCAAACCATCCAGGACATCTTGTCCAACTTCACTCTGCGTGCATTCCTAGATAACAAGTACGTGATCCGTCTCCAAGAAGACAGCTACAACTACCTTGTCCGCTACCTCCAAAGTGACAACAACATTGCCCTGTGCAAAGTCCTCTCGTTACATATCCATCTTGATGTGCAACCTGCCAAGAGAACAGACTACCAGCTTTATGCTAGCGGCAGCTCCTCTCATAGTGAGAGCAGCAGCTTAGAGTCCTCTGACATGCCCACTCCTCTTCTGCAAAATGAGGCTGCCCTGGAGATGCTGCAGGAAAGCATCAAAAAAGTCAAGGATGGGCCTCCTTCACTCACCACCATCTGTTTCTACGCCTTCTACAACACAGAGCAACTGCTGAACACTGCAGAAATTTCACCAGATAGTAAACTGCTTGCTGCTGGGTTTGACAACTCCTGTGTAAAACTTTGGAGTTTACGATCCAAGAAGTTGAAGTCTGAACCCCACCAAGTAGACGTGTCACATATCCATTTGGCTTGTGATACTCTTGAGGAAGAGGTATGAGTATCACTTTTTCTTCCCTCTGTATGCCTTACCAATTTGTTTAGAGCATCCTTGCCAAATATGCATTCTCTTATTCTCTTATTTCCCCATTGTGTAACTAACCCTAAACTGATGTCATATAACCCATAGCCATTTAATCCCTGCTAATTTCTAACTTTGAAAAAGATGGTGGTGAGTTGTTTTGGGTTTTAGGGTTTTTTAATAAAGAATTGTTCACATAGTCCATAGTTAGTTGACCTGCTAACCCAAAGGCAGCACTTGTGACTTTATGCTTCCAGAAAACATTGGAGAGTCAGCTGTGAGTCAGTTTTTGCATTCATTTAATATCACAACTATAGTCAATGAAATGTGACTTTTTTTAAAACCTAGTTGGAAACCTAAAGACCTTTAGCTAATACTGACTTCAGTTGGGTTTATAGTGATTATCCTTGTTTATCTGTCTGAACATTTGTACAAGTACAAATACAAGTAGGATTAAGGGGTCAGAGAGTCCGTGTGTTTTATATTAGGGTTAATATTGCCAGTTTCCCTATAGAAAATGGTTGTCCTAGTTTACAGTCTTAGCCACAGCTTATGAAGTCTCCTTGCCCTTCATCAAGTTGAGTGTCACTGTTTCTGAAAGATATCTTCTGCCTTTGTGAACCTATAATTTTGCCTGACCTTGTTTTTTCCAAAAGCACCCAGGCAGTACAAGTGAAATGTCATCTCTCTTGCCTTCAGGTCTTGTTTTGTCTGTTTGGTAATGGTTATTGAAAAAGGTAGGTCCAGATTCTGTGCCACCAATATTCAGTGCCTCAGGAGGAACATAAATTAGATGTCACAGAGTTTCCTTTTTTAAAAAAAAATTTTTTTAAATTTTATTTCATTATTTTTTGTGTGTACCATCAAATCAGATCTGACTGGTACAGGAGTTACCAGCAGAGCATCTGGTGGATTCAAACCATGCGCCTCTGAGATTGCAGTGCAACTTCTTGCCACTAGGCCACCAGAGCTTGCCAGAATTTCCTTTTCTCAAATTGATCCTACAAAAGTGTGAGCAACATGTGTGGCCACAATTTGTCATATCACCATTCTAATATGTGCTTCAAGTAGTTTGGATAGAAAATTCTTTTCACAAGACTGGAAAATTCAGGAGTAAAGAATTATTGAATTGTTCTATTGAATTATAGTTGTTGATAATGGTATCAAGACCACTGGATCCACCAAATTAAACCCTTTGGTTCCTGTTTCCATACTCTCAGGGACCTCCTACTGGGTAGTATGGCTCTGACATTTTGATTCTTACAACTGAAGTAATATCATTAGAAGAGTTTGTTATGAGGAACAATAAGAATTCTGGAGTGCCATGTGTAAACTTTGATTTCTAGGATATTATAATGCCTGCCAAAATCATTTTCATTGTTCTTTTATTTGAATTATCACATTTCTCTTTTTCTCAGAACTCAGTCTCACTGTTTGGGAGTATGGGAGTACTTCATACCAACAATGTCACAATCCCTTCACTCAAAGGGATACTTACTTTCCATTGTCTATAAATGTCAAAAAAGAAGAAATTATTCCTACTGGTGTCATTAGTTTCAGAGTAGAGAGTTTGGTCATTAGTATAGGTATTAAAAATTAAAGGAAGATGGTAATGTGATATCTTAGAACTTTGGGCTAAAAACATTTTAGCCTGGTACCACTTAAAACTAGTGTTTCCTTTTGATGGCTCCCAGGCATTGACCGTGATGTATTTAAATATCTACAAGTAAGAATAGCATGGAGAACTCAAAAGAACAGAAAGAATTCAATATTAGCTAGTGTTGAGAAGGAATAAGACTAAAAGCAAGTACATTGTTGAGAGATTATGAAAAGGAGGAAGTGGAAGCTCTGAGGTGTGATTTACAAGGTCAGATGGGAAAAACTGAGTGATAGGCATCACTGGGCAAGGTCACCTCGGATAACAGCGAAAGGAGGCGTCTTCCAGGTCAGACCC